GACACACACACACACACACACACACGCACACACACACACAAACAACCCCTCGATAATATGCGTTTTTGCATTGCCCAGATGCAAAAAAAAAATGCAAAAAAAGCATAGGAAAAAATATATGGCAAAGAGGCAGATGCTTACAATAATCATCCAAAAAATTGGGTGCATCGAGAATCCGTTCCGGGCTATTTGGTATATAGCGTATTCCTTTGCTCACACTATCTGATGGCTTCACCGCTTTTGTTGTGTACAGTACTTTTGGTTCGTTGTTGTGGAACAGTGGTGGGGCAGGTGCGTGGCCTGATTGGTAGCACAAAACTGTGTCACGAATCTGATCAACGTCATTTGCCGATTTTGCTAAAACAACAAGTAATCAATAGACCTTAATCTGTTGGGATCGCTGGACAAACTGAGAACTGCCCATTCCATGCCAAACTTCTACATGACAGATTTTCTTATCCCACCCTTCGTTTTAACTTTCTTTGACTCCGGTCGCTTCACATTTTTATGATTTCTTTGGACTGTCCATTTGTTTTAAGATTACGATTCGGCCTTCTAACGGCCGCAATTTATCATTCCTTGATCGACTATTGTTTCACTGTAGCAAACCCTCCCGCCCTCCAAACTTTTCATGGTACTCTGATCAAAGCTGATTGTCTTGTAATTGGCCTATAGCTGGTGATCTGGCGCCCCTCAGTCCTACTTTTTTTCTTTCTGATGAACAGATGTATTGCATCCCGTCCGTTATTTTTGTGTCCATTTTCCAGGAATGTTGGATCTCGGTGAAACTGAACTGCATAAATGTAGGAGCTTAAAGGTTTTCCGGGATGATGCGCCTCGGTGTATTTGAACTGCATAAACGCTGGAACTTAGAAGCTACCTGGAATGTTGGATTTCGGTGAATTTGAATGGCATTACTGTTGAAGCTATTGCTAATGGCGCGAAAGTATTACCGTATATTTTATACAGTAATACCAATAATATCACTAGCAACAATATCAGTAATATCACTAGTAATACTACTAGTATTACTGTATAAAATCCATAATACTGTATATTTCATCGGCAAAAATTGTGCCCAGGAATATTCGCAGAGGAACTTCCAGAAGTACTGGACAGTAGGCGCAGAGAAACTAGCACCCATACGCAGCTTGACGTAATATTTGATGAAAAAAAAAAAAACGCATGCAAAACGGCAACAACATACCTCGCATAACTTTAACCATATAGGCTTTTTCTGCTTTAGTTGGACTGACTGGTGCCGAGGCTGACGTATTGTGCAAAGATTCATTCTAGAATATGATTCATAGAGAATCTGCTGCTACAGTGAAGAGACTCGGACTCACGTTTTTTATTTTCGTCAAAATGCATGGTTCGCAAGGTACTATCGTAATTCAAATATCACACAAAATAACTGCGTCCAGGCAAAATCCAAGGGTCTGGTCGTTCAGGCTCAGCCAAAAAATGGTAAAAGATAATCTCTTTCATCTGTGTAAAGCTCAGATTGTGGGAGGAACAAGGTCCTATCTTCTAAAAAAGGTGATGAAGAGGGGAGAAAAATAACTGCTCCAGGCAAAATCCAAGAGTCTGATCGTTCAGGCTCAGCCAAAAAATGTTAGAAAATAATCTCATTCCATTCATACACAGCCTAACTTGAGGGGGAAAAACGAGGCCCTATCTTTTAAAGGAGGTTGAGGAGATCGTTCCAATCGTGTAAAGCTCAGATTGTGGGAGGGACAAGGTCCTATCTTCTAAAAGAGGTGGTGAAGAGCGGAGAGGGGAAAACGGGGAGAGGAAAGGATGCAGTACAGCAGAGAAAATATTACTCTTTTGGGCCCTTTAAATTTAAATCTCAGCTTCTGTACTGACGAAATCCAATTGCGGTATCGGACTAAGACTTAAAAAAAAAGTTGCGGTACCGGACTATGACTGAAAATTACTACCCCTCATCTAACATAACCCTGACTTTCCTATTTGGAATTGGCTCCTTTTTAGTTCATCCCTTCTTTCCTTCCTATTTAATGGACCAAATGTCTTACTTTATTCCTCTTCTCAAGTAAGTAAAAGACCCCAAGGGCCGTTCAGGCCCTGTGGGCGAAAGGAAACAGGAACCAGTAAGGGCTGCAGCGGTACTGGATGACTCTGAATAGGCCATCCATAAGACGGCGTCGATCCAAAATCTCAACCTCATAACTCTTTCAGCCCTCACTGACTTCATTTCCTCCCTCTATTTCGGCTTTGTTGTAGCATTTTGCAATAATTGATGCAATTTTTGAATATTAAAGCGAATTTAAGTAGATTTTAGCAATCAGGCTGGCTGTGGAAGTCTAACTGGTGAAAGCGCGATAGTTAACAATATGAGAGGAGGAGATAAGAATGAGATAAGACGTTTCGGTCCATGAAGTCATAAATTAATAATGACCATCTAATGAAGCAAATCCTTGATGAACTGGAAAGGTGCACTTACTTCCGATGAAAAACTGAGAATATGTGTGGCCAGTTCAAATTGTGTTCCGCTACGATTCGGTATGAAACGATCGCCACCACCAATGCCACTAAAATTCGGATTTCGTGATGGAGTGCCATCACGTCTTTTTAGTCCTCCTCTTGATTTGTTGAATGTTATGTTCGCTTTGCGAGTTGGAGTTTTCTGCGCCAGTGGTCGATTTTCCCTGCAACATACACTTTTTTTTAAAAAATTGCATTATGGCGAAGAAACATTTGTTCATGCGATATTCAAATATGCATCAAATAGACCTCAAAAAAAAAATAGGAGCCCCGCTGCGTGCTTCTGCTAGAACTTTTCAGCTGGTAATCCCTTCAGGAGACGAAAGAGAAATGTCAGAACCATCAAAAGGCCGACTATCAGGAGAAGCAGCACTGATCAGAGCAATTGGTAATTGCATAAGTGGACATCATACTGCGACAGCTGATCCAATTTTACGTACAAAGAAACACAAGTTTCCCTAATCGTATAATAAAATGTATTGAAACAAAGGCGTGACTGGGCCTATTTGGGTATCTTTACTCGGAAGAGTACAATTTCAAAGCAAAAGCTCGAAGTTCTGGGCCTCGCTGTAAGCTAACTGTAGCAACCAGGTTGACCCAGGAAGCCAAAATGGCGAAGGTGCGAGAGATTACAACATGAAAGAACAGTATGAGAAAAGAAGGTAAGAGTGAGATAAGACCTTTCGGTCCATTAAGTCATATACGTCTTAATTCAACACTGTGCGACAGGACTTTGTCAGGATGACGGCCGCAGTGCTCCATGGAAAAGAAAATAAAAGAGAAAGACGACAAGAAGAAACAGAAGAGGAAATGATAAACCGGAGCAAACTACATTACACTTTTTTATTTTATAATACTATACTTTTTACTCTTTTCC